CAGTATATGGTTGCGGTAATGAGAATACGGAGTGTAACGAGAGCGATTGCACACGTTGTAATACCAGTAAGTGCAACTCGGCGACATCGGTAACCGTACTCAGTTCTACGATTTTGTCTTTAATAGCAATTATATTCCTTACGAAATAAGTTTACCAATGTATTTATTAGTTTTTTCAACGAAGATCAATCTTATATTCACTAAGAATCATTCAATAGAATTTCGTGAACTTGTCAGAATGGCATTACACAGAATTTAAAGATATTTTAAGTTAATGTAAATCCACGGATAAAAATTTGCTCCATGTGAGTTACAATAAAAGTAAACCTATTTAATTAATAGTCATAAGAATTTTCATTCATTACCGTCTTCCATTCCTAAGAAAAGTCTGATTAGCGTATGGTACCATGGATTGGGAACGAAATCATAAACGAAAGTATATCAGGAATGGTTAATTAGATGCTCAACGAGCAATCGTAACAGCGAAGCGGATCGACGTGCCGGGGCAACGAACTCAAACACGTTCCGCTCATTATTCGTTATTGGATATTATATTCAAAGCTTCTGATCATATGCGCTCGTCTCGTTTTTAACGTTAAGGATAATAGGCTATTCCCTTTCACTTTGAAGAAACAAGATACAAGTCATTAAAAACCCACAGAGAGATACTTTTCAAAGTAATCTGTAGACATTCTTAATATTATACATTATAAATTATCTATAAAAAACAAGTTTTAAGAAGAATAATTTGAGTCAAACTATTTTGCTTTATAGCCCCATTTTCGACTATAGGTAAACTGCCAAATAAATTATTTTACAGATTTCATCATTTCGATATAATTCCTACAAACGATTGTTAGTACTAATAATTTTAAACAAAAACGCTATTAGTTCGTCCTGTCGAGTCATGGACAGAATTTAGTGACATCGATTATCATTATTTAGTAGGCAAATAGTAGAAACAGACTAAAGGGGAATGAAAAATGAATCTTAAGTCTCTAGCCACCGGACTATGAGTAATCGTCCATGTGCTTATATTCGTTTGCATCGTATCCTCGTTATGTATCATCGTTGCATACGCCCTGTTCATCAATTTTAACATCTATTGTAAAACATGTCATAGAATGAAACATTCTCAGAATATGAATGAGCAAATATAAATTTGAAATAATTCAATCATCAATAAGATCAAGGGAAGTTCTCTTATGTCTCAATGCTTTAAAACCATTTCACATATTCTATTCTAATCAATGCTTTATCCATAGAAATATTAGAAGTGAGTACATATTGGAACGTTTAAATGATAACAAAAAAAATGTTACGACATACATCTAGCCTCTTTCTTTTTTATAGACTGCTTTTTATTAACTCTATTACAATTTTTATGTGTCGTACATTGAAGCCATAAAAATATCAATAAAGTCATTTTGTAAAACTATACATTTAATAATTATGAGATCGTTACCAAGTATAGTAATTACAATTTTTCTAAAACACGTATGCTTACTTAATACTATTGAAAAATAAGGGAAAATTGTAAAAAAAAACCCTGTTGTATGTAGCTTCCTTCGACTCATTCATTTTATTTTAACTGCAGAAATGGTAAAGCTGGTTACACTTACATTATCCTATAACATAAAATTAAAATACACGAACGAGTATGCAACAGTGACACAGAAGATATGATACAAGTAGGTACAAATAAATATACAAATAAATATACAAATAAATAGCGGACAGAAGGAATGGCGCGCGCGTGTAGGTGCGCGAATTGCGCAGGCGAATTCGGGCGTGCTTCGTGGCCGTGCGGATCACGCTCGCGCCTCGCCGCGCCGTGAATTCCGGCGCTGCTCTCTCGCCGCGGGTTTAACACGCGGCGCCGAAGCAACTCTCGTAGCTGCGCCGAGCGAGCGTCCCCACGACACGACCACGACCTCAGTCTACCGTCACCGTTCGCAAGCGTCGCTTCGACACGCCGCCCTCGCCATCGCGATCATCACCTTTGAAAACCTGCTGCAACATCGCCAGCCTCTGTTTCCAGTTTCCTTAAATCAGACTCGCGTACTTTCGGCTTCCGCGCCGCGAGGACGCGACTTCGAAACGTGGATCCGCGGCCCAAAGGACGAACTCCTGGTCCCATCGACGCGACGACGCGTCGGTGTGTTCATAAAGGAAGAGGCATAAACTCGATCACGATGTTCGATCAGCTCTATTGAGATTTCTGAGCATTCGTCCCTGCAAGGATTTCGAGCCTGAATCTTGGACTACTCGACAAACGTGAGTATATGCCTCGCTTTTTCTCTTGATACAGGCTTCGCAAGAATTACTTGACATATAAAAATCTGTAGGAAATTCTGTATTGAAATATTCATACGCAAAGTATTATATTTGGTGCGAAGAGGAGAGAGCTGATCCTGAACAGAATCCTCGTTTAATTTTACGAATTCGTGAAAAGGGCGTATAAGAGAACGTGCCACTATTACTGTGATACGTAATTAACCGCTTGGCGGGAGAATCTCTGTGATAAGGATTTGATAACGATTGTTAGATGGGGACGTGGAACTTGATGTCATCATTTCTTATCTTTCTGGTAAATGAAATTAAATTATAAATAGCTATCAGAAATAGCTGACATAAATATTATTTATTGTGGAAAGTCACAGATGAAATATAGACGAAAGAGTTGTCTTCTAAATTGTTCCCGATTTTTGAAAGTATAAATAGTTATAAGAGTCTTTTTATTATTCTAATATATTAAATTATTTAGTCGAAATTGCTGGTATTTTATTGATCCAAGCTAGGATTCAATATCCTTTGATTTGATATTTGAAACAAGATAGCGTTTGCTGGTTCGATCGTCCGGGTTACGCTTCGAGCGCGCACCTGGGCGCGCTCCGCTTCACTCGAAATTAGTTCCACCGTTTTACCAGGTTCTCCCTTCGCGAGTTCTACCCCTGAACGGAATCGGAAGATTTCCGGTCCGTTGGTCTCGTTAGGGACGAGGGAACGTCCACTTCAGTTTCCCGCTAACGAGGATAACAAAGCGTTCGTTAACCGTAAATCGTCCTCGCGAGTTGCGCAGGAGTCGTAAAGTTGAGTGAACACGGTTTACTCCTCGGCCCTGTGCGTGTATCCGTCGCGAGGGGGACGAGGCACGGTGCGTCGTGGAATGCAAATTCACGCGATGCGAATGCATTGTCCCTACGGGAACTTTCTTCCCGCTACTGTAGAAAACAATTCTTCTTCATCTCGAGAACCGCGTTCCTCGCACTCGCTATTGAAATTGGAACGCGGGAACGCGAGAGCGAAAAAAGAAACGCGTTCGTTTCGCCTCGCACTAAATCGATTTTACCGCGATAATCCGTCTTCATGCCAGTTGTTCAACTCGGTAGTAAATAAAAACGTATTTAACACTAGAAAGACTGAAACTTAGTATATACCTATATTGCCCAAAAGCAGTTAAAATGACTGCATTGTGAAAGAATAA